GAAGCTCTGGGGACACCCTGGGCCAGGGACACGCGCGGCAACCCCCCGACTGGGGGCGCACGGATCAGCCACCGCGGCGGTTCGCCGCAGCCTCGAGGATCGGGGCATTCCATTCAATGCTTGGGCGCTTGGGCGCTTGTTCTGGGCCTCCTCGTCGTCGCCACGGCTGGAGCCGCCTCGAAACGTTTGCCGGGAAGCACCCAGGGACAGGGCCGGGGGATCGATCTTCGGGGTTTGCGACAAGCTCTGGTCTCTCACTATGGGCCGAACAGGAACACGCGAAGGTCTCACGGACGTCTGAACACACGAAACGGAGAATCATGGAGGCTGGGGAGCTGAGAAGCCGGGGTGCCAGAAGCCAGGAAGCTGAGAAGAAGGGGATCAGGGAAGCACGGGAGCCGGGAAGCTGAGAAGTGTGAAGCTGCAAAACTTGATGCCGGGAGCCCGCGAGTTGGCTAATCTGGGAACCCTGGTTCCCGACGAGGACATGGTTTTTTACACCCCAGGAAGGGCCAGGGGCCAATGTCTGAGCCCACGATCCGGGCCTCCAACACGTTGACAACAAAAAAAGCTGTTTGCTTCCAATATCTGTCTGCCTCTGGGGCCAATTCTGGAGTCCCAAGGCAATCAAACCGAATGTCAGCTCGGGACGAAAAGCAGCCCCGGAAGAGAGGATGACGGGGATGAGGCGGAGAAGGAGGAGGAACATGGGTTAGGGGCTTGGAGAAGAAAAATAAGGAGAAAAAGGAGGAGGACAACGCTGATAATGACGATGATGATGATGATGATGATGATGATGATGATGATGATGATGATGATGATGATGATGATGATGATGATGATGATGCTGATCATGATGATGATGCTGCTGCTGCTGCTGATGATGATGATGATGACGGTGACGATGGTGATGAGGCTGACGATGACGATGGATGACGACGACGGTGATGATGACGAAACTGGCGATGGTGGTGATCATGAGGACTGGAAGGATTATGGTGAGGACTGCGCTCGTAGGCTCAGCGATCCCTTGTTCTGTGGCGGCCTGGAGCTCAGTCAGTGCCGCATTGGGGCGCAGCCACTGGAACTAGAACTGCCGACGGCGGTTCAGAGCAGGAGGAGGAGAAAGAGGAGGAGCAGGAGGAGGAGCAAGACAGGAGGAAGACAAGGAGAGGGTGGAGGAGGAGGACGGGGAGGAGGTGGAGGATGCAGGGCTCAAGGTTTTGGACGCTTTTGAAACCTTTTGAGTATCAGGGCGCCTCTGGAGGCATTCGGGGACCTCTGGAGACCCCTCGAAAGCCTCTGAAAAAGGACTGGCGGCGCGCACGAGTGGGCAATGCAAGGGGGGCGGCCTTCGACGAAGGAACCACGGGGGCGTCGCAGAAGCCCTCCTTTCTTCTGCGAAGCCTTCTGAGTTAGTCTTATTTTATAAAATCTGTTCGACGCAGCCTTCTGGCCTGGTCTTATTGATTGTTTTTGTTCCACGAAGCCTGCTAAGCAGCCTGCGAGCCCTCCCGAGACGCCCCTGTGCCTTCCGAGGAGGACGTTCCCGTCGCCCGGGCCTTCTATGTGCGCGCCGCCAAGGGGGAGCAGAAGGGAGGAGGGAGGACGGGGAGAGCGTGCAACAGCTGAAGAACAGCATCCAGACCGAACACACGTCGTTCATTTCTAATGCTGCTCATCTCTCACTGCGCTCGTTTCTAATTGTTCCTGGCCCCCTAGTGGCCAGGAAGAGGCCCAGGATAGAACATTTAGAATTGAAAGGATCTTGGCCCCCAACAAAAATCAAAGAACTTTCGAATGATCAAAAAATGAACACTGTGCACTAGCTTGAAAGCCAAGAGGCAGCAGCCTCGGAGAAGCGAGCGGGGTCCGAGGACGAGGAGAGAGGGAGGAGGACGAGGGAGGGGGGACGAGGCAGGAGGAAGGAGGCAGGGGGGAGGAGGACGGAGGAGGAGGGAGGGAGGGACGAGGAGGGAAGAACGAAGAGGAGGACGAGAAGGACCAGTGTAAACCCAAGACTCATCAACGATGTTGGGATACACCCTCCCTCCAAGCTCCCCCTTCATAGGCCCCATACAAAGATTCACTTCCACTGAGGGGCGTGCCGCTTTGGGAGACAACTGTGTGAAAATCCTGAAGCGTACCAGCATATTTTCTAATGATTTCAACGCCTCGAATCAACCTGACAGTCGCGTCTTGGCGATCGTGCATCGTGCCGGAACGCCACTCCTGGGACTTCAACGCCGCGAAACAACATGACTGTTGCACCCTGACAAGCCTGAACCCTTCGAAAACACAATTTCAAGAAAGTTAATTATGAGAGTCCGCGAAACCCTTTGCAACATCTTGAAAATAATGTGCGTGGGGGCTATAGCGATCACCACATGTTGACAACAGAAAGAGCCGTCCTCAAAAACCCGTGAAAATTTTGCAATTTTCTATAACGAATGCGCGCGCCGTCGAGGCGAGAGCCGCACTTTGAGAACGAGCCGCCCTGGACGCGCTAAGGCGAGAACCGCATTTTGAACACGAGCAGCCATCAAGCCGTGACTGTCGTGCATGTTTTAACGACTGCACGCGGCGCGAAGGCGAGAACCACATGTTGAAAACGAACCGCCTTCAATCCGTGAAACACTTGCACATGCTGTGAAACGAGTGCGCGCGGCGCTAGAGCGAGAACCACATGTTGAAAGCCACCCGTCTTGAATCCGTGTTGCTGTGACAGTTTCTTCAAACGAATGTGCGTGGCGCTAAGGCGAGAGCCGCATTTTGAACCACTCGGTCTTCATCTGTGAAGCTGTTGTCCAAGTGAAAGCATCAGGGTCATGAGTGGTGAGGAAGCCTCAAGCGAAACGCCCTGCCCGCCCTTTCGACCGGCCTCGGGGTGCGACAGGGAGGCGTTATCTTTAAGGAAAACGAATGGAGGAGGGAGGCAGGAAGGAGGCAGGAAGGAGGCGCGTTGAGGGATGATGATGACCTGGATGAACCCAAGATGTATCAACGATGCTGCAATACGCCCTCCCGTTCCACGTCCACCCTCATTCGTCCCTACAAGCAATTTCGTTCACTGCGCGAGTCGCCTTCTTGAAAGACGAACGCCCCATGGGCGTGCAATCCATGCGGGAGCTCCGTTTTAAGGGGACCCCCATCCATCTGCCTAGCAAAATTATCCCAGTGCGACCCTACCTAGGAGTTGGAGCATTTAGGAAAGCAACATCTACATCTACACCGACAGCCACATTTACATCTACATCTGCATCTACATCTACATCAACATCAACAGCGAGACTCACATCGACATCTACATCTACACCTACATCTACATCTTCATATAATTACACACCGACATCCACACTTACATCTACATCTACATCTACATCTACATATACACTTTCGAAGTGGTGTTGCTGTTGCTTTGCATTGCCTTTGCGTTTGCTCTTGCCTTTGCTTTTGCCTTTGCCTTTGATTCTGTTTTTGTTGTTGCTGTTGCTTTGCTGTTGTTGTTGCTGTTGATTGATTTCGTGTTTGCGTTGCCTGCGCACGGACACACTATGCTATGCTGTGCTGTGCTGTGCTATGCTATGCCAGGCTATGCTATGATATGTTATGCTGCACTATGGTATGCTATGATCTGCTATGCTATGATGCGCTAGGCTATGATATGCTATGATGTGCTGTGCTATGCTATGCTATGCTGCGCTGTGTTATGCTGAGCAATGCTATGATATGCTATACCATGCTGCGCTATGCTATGATATGATATGCTATATTGCGTTATGCTATGCTATGCTATGCTTGGCTATACTGTGTTATGCGATGCTGTGCTAATGCTGCGCTGCGCTGCGCTATGCTGCACTGCGCTAAGCTAAGCGAAGGTAAGCTCAGCTATGCTAGTATAAGCTACGCTAAGCTAAGTTAAGCTAAGCTAGGCTAGCTAGGCTAAGCTAAGCCAAGCTAAGCTAAGCTAAGCTATGCTAAGATGAAATAAGCTAAGCTAAGCTAAGCTAAGATGAGCTAAGCTAAGATGAGATAAGCTAAGCTAAGCAAAGCTTATCTAAGCTAAGCTGGGTGAACCCAGGGGGCGCCACTGGGGGAACCGCGGGGCGGATACTGGGGGAACCGCCTGGGGCGAGCCCCACTGCCCGGCCCGTTTAAGAAAGAGAATAAGAACCCTCTAGGCAGAGCCTAGGTAGGGAATGAATGAGGACATAGCTGCAGCAAGGGTGGCGAATTTCAAACAAATCCCAACGACTGCCCCGCTGTGGTAAGGGACCGCCCTGCATCCGTGTAGTATCTGCACAAGCTGGACCGTCTTGTCGCAAAATCGCACGAGGTCTCAGGCAATAGCCCAATCCTGCAAAGGAACCGCCCACCATCCGGGCGGCTGCTGCGCAAACTTACACTTGTGGTAACATGCTTGAGGAAATCTCGAGCGAGAGCCCCGTTTTGAAAGCGTGCCGGTCTCCATCCGTGAAACTGTTGGGAGCTTTGCAGACGAATGCGCGCTGTGCTAAGACGAGGGCTTCATTCTGAAACCGAACGTGCGTGGCGCTCAAGGGAGAGTTGCAGTTTGGGCATCATTGTGAGCTTCGGAATAAGAAGCATGGAAGAGCGTGTGAAGCGCAAAGCCAGGCCCGGCATACGGACACGCCTTGTGGTGCGGCAGGTAGGTCCTGTCAGTGCTAAAGATAAGGGATGGATGCAGGAGAAGGAAGAGGCTGTCGCCTACTTGTACAGCGAAACTGCGCAACTCTCAGCAGAGCAAAAAACCGGAGGAGGAGGAGGAGGACACGTGAGAGGAAGAGGATGAAAGATGTTGAGGAGGGAGAGGGGGACGAGGAGGCTGAAGGAGGAGGAGGAGAAGGAGGAGGGAGGAGGGAGGGAGGACGATGGAGAAGGATGAGGAGTAGGAGGGAGGGGGGAGGGAGGAAGGTGGGAAGGCGGAGAGGAGGGAAGAGGGGAAGCTGGGAAGGAGGAGGGGGAATGGGGAGGAGGATGGAGGAGGCAGAGGAGGGTGAGGGAGGCTGGAGGATGGAGGGAGAAGGAGGGCAACAGGGACGCGCGGCCTACGCGACGATCGGCCGCGGCTGCTCCGCGCACCGGGGGATGCCTCGGGCCAGGCGAAGGGAGGGGGGACAGCCCAGGGGGGGGGGGAGTGAGCGGATCAGCCTCGGCTGCACTCCGCCGCGCGCCGGGGGGGGGGGGGGGAAAGCGAGGGGGGCCGAGCCAACTCAGGAGGCCGTGCTATGAGGAGGAGGGAGGCGGAGGAGGCAGAAGGCGGAGGGAGGGGGGAGTTCCAGGAGGGGGGAGAGCCGGGAGAGCTCCTCCTCCTCCTCCTCCTCCTCCTCCTCCTCCTCAGAAGAAGAAGACTCAGAAGACTCCTTCTAAGCCTTATTCCTCAGCCGGTGGGGCTTCGGAATGAGGCTCAAGACGACTTCTCGGATGGCCGGGCGCCTCGCGAGCCTCCCGAGGCAGGCCCGCCCCTTCCTTGCGGCCCTGGGCGCCCCGCCGATACCGCAGGAGCGGCCCTAGGGAAGAGTGGCTTTTGGCGCGCGGCTTCAGAGGGGCGCGGTGTGTGTGTGTGTGTGTGTGTGTGTGTGTGTGTGTGTGTCTGTGTGTGTGTGTGTCTGTGTGTCGGTGTGTGTGTGTGTGTGTGTGTGTGCGTGTGTGTGTGTGTGTGTGTGTGAGTGTGTGTGTGTGTGCAAACCCGAGCTCGCAAGCCGCTGTCATCGCACCGCGCTCAGCGATCGGGGGACCCCCGTGGGCCCGCATGAACAGTCGCTCTGGCGAAGAGCCACTCCTGCGCGCGGCCGACAGCTGCAGGCCACCGACTTTCCTGGCGCCTCCCGCGGACGTGGCTGACTCCAGAAACCCTGCAGCCCAAACTGCCAGCATCTCACTCGTACTTCGAACAGGGGATATGTTGACCCCTATCCCAGACTTCGTGAGGTCTTCTAGTGGACCAGAAATTTGGGGCCCACCCCTGGGATGTAAGATGGGGGAGCGTCCAATCTCGACAAGGGGTGCGTCCGGATAGCAAACCTGGGGTACATCCGAGGGCTTTTCCTCCTTGTCTGAGCGGCTTCATTTCTCGTCGAAACGTCGGGGGGCTGGGGGAGAAAAAAATCGCCTGCAAACTTCCGCTGCCTTCCGCCGATCTTCCTTGAGCAGGGACCGACCGTCCCAGCATTCCTATAGGCCCAGAGTTGTTCCAATAACAAAGCCAATGTTCTCAGAACGTAGCCCCGGTGTGTTAAAACAAGGCAGCCTCGGCCAGCAATGCTCTGAGAACATGTCCTGCAGACCACAAAACGGGTCTTAGATCGTTCCTTGGTGGGCCTCTAGGCAAGCCAGGGCGCCTCGCCACTGCTCGGAAATCATCGCCTGCGAACTTCCGCTGCACTCCGCCGACCTTCCGCGGGCGGAGCCGCCCCCCGAGCTTCGGGAGCGGCCAAGAGGGGGGTGTCCAGGATGCAAATCATGACCGGCGGCATGTGCGCGGCCCAGCGGAGGGGCCAGGGACGTAAAGAAGCAAGAAGAGGCGCCATGAGATCTGGGGAAAGATCATGGCCCACGCAATGATATCCACCCCCCCTAAGGTCATCACCCCCCTCTTTTCCGCCCCCCAGAGGTACCCGCCAACGGCGGGGACGCGACGAAGGCAAGCCCCCCCCCCCCCCCTGCCGGAACACGCCCCGCGCACATCGAGGGGCGCCCGTCCGCGCGCCCCCCTCGATGCGAAGACTCTCGGCGACCAGAGGCCTCCCCCCGCTGTCCTCCTCCTCCTCCTCCTCCTCCTCCACTTCCTCCTCCTCCTCCTCCTCCTCCTCCTCCTCCCTCCAGTTCCCCTCGTCACTCTCCTCCTCCTCCTCCTCCTCCTCCTCCTCCTCCTCCTCCTCCGCCTCCTCCTCCTCCCCCTCCTCCTCCTCCTCCTCCTCCTCCTCTCCTCCTCCTCCTCCTCCTCCTTCCTCCTCCTCCTCCTCCCTCCCCAGTTCTCCTCCTCCTCCCCTCCCTCATCCAGTTCCTTCTCCTCCTCCTCCTCCATTCCTCCACGTTCCTCCTCCTCCTCCTCCTCGTCCTCGTCCTCGTCCTCCTCCTCCTCCTCCTCCCTCCTCCTCCTCCTCGTCCATCTTCTCTCCTCCTCCTCCTCCTCCTACTCCTCCTCCTCCTCCTCTCCTCCTCCTCCTCTTCCTCGTCCTCGTCCCTCACGTCGTCGCGGCCTCCTCCTCGTCCTCGTCCTCGTCCTCGTCCTCGTCCTCGTCCTCCTCCTCCTCCTCCTCCTCCTCCTCCTCCTCGCTCCTCCGTCCTCTCCTCCTCCTCCCCTCCTCGCCCCTGCCTCCTCCGCCCCCCCTCCCCCTCCTCCTCCTCCTCCTCCTCCCTCTCTCCTCCTCCTCCTCCGCCTCCTCCTCCTCTCCTCCTCCTCCTCCTCCTCCTCCTCCTCCTCCTCCTTCCTCTCCTCCTCCTCCTCCTCCTCTCCTCCCTCGCTCCTCTACTGCTCCTCCGGCTCCTCCTCTGCTCCTCCTCCTCCTCCTCCTCCTCCTCCTCTCCTCCCTCCTCATGCCCCCCCTCCCTCCTCCTCCCTCCCTCCCTCCCTCCCTCCCTCATTCCCTCCCTCCCTTCCCTCCTCCCTCCCTCCCCTCCGCTTCCTTCTCTCTCCTCCCCTCCTCGTCCCTGGTCCTCGTCCTTGTCGCTCGTCCTTCCCGCTCCGCCCTCCTCCCTTTCCTCCTTCCTCCTCCTCCTCCTCCTCCTCCTCCTCCTCCTCCTCCTCCTCCTCCTCCCTCCTCCTCACCTCCCCCTTCCCCTCCCCCTCCCCCGCGACCACCGCCCTCTCCTTCCCTTTCAGACAAGCGCGTTCCACGACTCGCAAAGTAGCTACTCGCAAATGGCCTGGATCCGCCGCGCGGGATCTACGATATACTCTCGGACGCTTGCGAGTAGGCACTTTGCGAATCGTGAACCCCGCTCGGTGACCTCTGTCGTCTGAGTGTGCCCGTGGCCCCAGCGCGGCCCGCAGGCCAACCGAAAATGCTGTGCGCTGTGCGCTCGCCCTCGGCGCTGGCCCCCGCAGGTGCGCCACCGTACTCCCCCAGCACGGTGGGGTGTGCTAGACTGCCAGGTGCTGTCTGGTAAGGCCTCTGTGATTTTCTAAGGGCCCTCCCCAGTAGGAGGAGGAGGAGGCGGAGGAGGAGGAGGAGGAGGACGAGGAGGAGGAGGAGGATGAGGAGGACGAGGAGGAGGAGGAGGAGGATGAGGAGGGGGAGGAGGGAGGAGGAGGAGGAGGAGGGAAGAGGAAGAGGAAGATAAGGCATCTGTAATTTTCTGATTGCCCTCCCCCCCTCCGGCCGTGCCCCGCCGCACGCACCGCCCCCTCTTCCCGTGGCCACCGTCCCTCGCCAGCTGCGACCGGGTCGCGCTTCCGAGGCCCAGCTGCCTCCAAGACGGCCCAATCTGGTGCCGAGACGGGCCACTTTGGCCTCAAGACGGCCCAGGATGGCTTCGAGACGACCCACGAGGCTTTCCAGGCGTCCCGAGCGAGCCCCCTGAGCCTTCCCAAGAGGGCCACGCACATCCTGGGGATTCCTTTGGTTCTTCAATGTTTGCTCGGGTTCTCGCCTTTTCGAGCTTCCGACGCCCCAAGATGCCACCAAGACTGCCTCAGGACGGTCCCAAATGACACCCGAGGGGGCCCCAGGGCGGCCCAAGATGGCGTCAGGACGGCCCAAGGTGCGCCCAGGAGGAGGAGGAGGAGGAGGAGGAGGAGGAGGAGGAGGAGGAGGAGGAGAGGAGGAGGAGGAGGAGGAGAGGAGGAGGGAGGATGGAGGGAGAAGGAGGGGAGAGGAGGAGAGGGAGGAGGAGGAGGGAGGAGGAGGAGGAGGAGGGAGGAGGAGGAGGAGGAGGAGGAGGGAGGAGGACATGAGGGAGAGAGGAGGAGGGGAGAGAGGAGGGAGGAGAGAGGAGGAGGAGGAGGAGGAGGAGGAGGAGGAGTTGGGCCCAAGAGGGTGAACGCGAACCGAGCACGCGAGCCTTCCGCCCCAAGGGGATGATTCAGGAGGCCCCAAGAGGGCCAGGCGAGGCCGCCCTGAGGGCCCCGCGAGGCAGACACCATCGAAGTGCCGCTCCTCCTCCTCCTCCTCCTCCTCCTCCTCCTCTCCTCCTCCTCCTCCCTCCGCCTCCTCCTCCTCCTCCTCCTCCTCCTCCTCCTCCTCCTCCTCCAACTCCTCCTCCAGCTCTCGCCCCTTCGAGCTTCCCGAGGCGCCAAGACGGCCCAGGAGGCCCCGAAGACTCCCCCCGAGACGGCGCCAGGAGGCCCCCCGAAGGAGCGCTCCGAGGCAGCCCAGGAGGGCTCCGAGGCTGCCCGGAAGTTGGGCCCCGGGAAGGGCCCAGGAGCGGAAACCCGAACTCGGAGCTCGAGCCCTCTGCCCCAAGAGGACCGAGGCCCAAGGCTGCATCTCTGCAGTAGCGCACAAAGGGCACATACACGAGCGATTGTTTTGGAGATTCGCTCTGTGCAACACATTGATCCCGCACCTTTGTCAAGACAACATGGCCAATACGCGTGTGATGGGAACTCCCGTGGGAAAGCTCGTGACAAGAAGTGACTCATGGATCCCTGCCGGCCCATCTGGCTCCGTGGACAGTTCCGGAGGAGGACCGCTTCTGCGCACACCCGACCGACGTCCTGATAGGAGTGCTCGCCTCACCAGCCCGCTGCATGCGATGACGAACGAGCCACGCACACCCAGAACCACAGGGGGGACGGATGGGAGCCATGGGAGCGTGCGGTCGGATGGGGGCCCCCGCTCCAGCGGGAGCCTCCCCCAGGGAAAGGTCGGGCATGTCCCCCTGCAGGCGGATCTTGGACGAACAATAAGAAACATACCCCAACACATCACCAACACTGGCCACACCTAGTCGAGAAATCGTCCTGGGACGGTTTTCCTGACTATTTTTTGGATTTTCCTCCTGTGGAGGGACAGGTCCGACTGAAGTCGGGTTGACCCAAAAGGGGGTCCAGCGACAAGGGGGTGGTGCAACAGATTTGTGGGGTTGCAGTACATTGGGGGCGTGCAATACACTCCGGGGCGCAGATGTATTGCTGGACTGTCGCGT